CCTACAGGGCATGACCACCACCCTGACGTCCCCCACTCGGTAGGGATCAACACGCTAATAGTTTTGAAGCAGGACACGAACCACCCCTGCCACAATAGGTGACACAGAACGGCTATAGCAACTAAAAACTAAGAGGAACGGCCTATCCGAACACACACGTTATAGGACCTGCGAGTCCAACTGGAAACTGTTTCTTGTTGTTACTTGGTGACTTGCACGCCACCACTGTTGCTCTTTGAGCCTACTACATATTTAAAAAGTCATTGAAACTTATCAATGCTGGACCTGCGTGTCCACACCGACAGTCTCTTATAAAATTGAAAATACTAAATAAAAAAGAAATTCACCTAAAATACTATGTGAACAGTAGTGGTGGCAAAAAAATGTTTTACCGCATAATCTTGCTTAAAGCAGAATTGTGGCATATGAGTTTTTTTTTCTACAACTCGCTACCTAACCAAAAGGGAACCTAAATGTATTTTTATTTTTTTTAAATTTGCATTTTTTTTTTAAAATGTCATGGGTGTTCAGGCACAGGCAGGGCATGCAATGCAAATTAGTTCTGCAGTGCTGTATATACAGCTACACATAAATGTACGGCACAATGGGAAAAAGCGCACAGGCTCATATGCTATTTCTCTGTAGATGTCTGAGCACGTATGAGACTACATGAAGGACCGTGAAACAATAATGTTGCCTTGAACAGAGAAGTGTTGCAGAGCTGGCTGCATTTTGTACTTACCTCCGTGCCAATACTTCAGTAAAATTAACCAAGGCTGGATGGGAGAGTTCCACTTCAAAATGTGTACTTACCAGCTAAAACAGATCTGTATTAATTGCACCTACGTAAAGAATTTTACGACAGGTAGGTACATGAAAAAATATATGTTTTTAAACCAGTCACTTAAAATTTGTGATTGAATTTAAATATTTTTTTGGCACTTTTGAGATCCAATTTGAAATTGTATTGATAAATATTAATATGTTTTAGGTGACAGGTCTATTTCAATAAAACGAGTAAACCATTACTGCAAGATGATTCATTCAAAATGTATTCGAGAACTGAAAATGCATTTTTAAGAGATTCTGGGTGCATTGTGATTCATTAACATTCCATTTTGTGGTTGTCCCACGTGCTTTTGGTCTCAATGAAAAGCACTTTCACTGATAAATGATTCTACCGTATAGAATAGCAAATGGCACCTCCACATAATAGGAAGGTTGTGAAATGCACCACACTAAAATCTCTCAGCAAAGTAGGGATGTATAACATTTGCAGGGTTATTAACTAAAGTGAGAATTGTCAGGATTTAAAAGTGAATTCAGAGTGAATTTTAAATTTAAGGCAAAAATAATCAAATTGGAAAAGTCCTCCAAGTCAGTTAAGCTTTAACTACTATGGCCTTGAAATTAGTATTTCCTACAGATTGAATCTTTGTGAAATACTCAGATTGATTGTGTTACAATTTCACTGAAATTCCAACCCAGTCAAAAGATATACTGAGACAGCATGCTGATCCTGATGAAAGTCTAGTGTATAGACTGAAACGTTGATTGTTTTAAACTGACCCAATAAAAAGTTTTTTTAATGAAGACGGTGAGTGCAGCAGACTATATATTTTTATTTATTTATTTATTTATTTATTTATTTTTAAGATATCAGCATGCCTCCCAAGTATCCCTGTTCTGGGCTCAATTCCCTCTGTATCTTTTTTATTGTAAACTAAAGTCCCTCTTTTGTAGGAATCCAGCATTCTTGGTGTGTCTGAATTGATATTTGAGCTCCACAGCAATAATACTCCCAGTAATGTGTCTTTAACCCCTTAAGGACCAAACTTCTGGAATAAAAGGGGTTAAAGGGACACTATGGTCACCCAGACCACTTCAGCTCAATGAAGTGGTCTGGGTGCCAGGTCCCTCAGGTTTTAATCCTTCAGATGTAAACATAGCTGTTTCAGAGAAACTGTCTAGCGGTGTCACGGGCTATGGGGCGGCGTAAGATCCAACTACGCTGCCTGCAATCTCTTTTGGGGAAACTAAATTTTGCCTGTCGGATTTTGCCCATGGTGCGGATCTTTAACAGGCGCCTGGCGGCAGCGACGTCTGAGGTCGTTCACCCGCAGCATTTTATCTGGCTTACTCGGCCCTTGCGTGCTGACTTGGCTGTCTGGGATTCCTTCTTGGCCTTGTATAATGGTAGGACTTACTGGCAGGCCCCAGTGGTTTCTAATGCTGATCTCCACCTGTTTACCGATGCGGCTGGCTCGGCGGGTTTTGGGGCCATTCTGGGCTCAAAATGGTGCGCTGACTCGTGGCCAGAGGCTTGGCATATGGCAGGGCTCACTCGGAACTTGGCCTTTCTGGAGCTCTTCCCCATTCTGGTGGCTATGGAGGTGTGGGGTTCCCTGCTTGAGGACAGACGAGTGGTTTTCCATTGTGACAATTTGGGGGTGGTGCAGGCTATCAATTAGTTGACTGCTTCCTCTCCTCCCGTGGTACGCTTGCTGTGGCGCTTGGTTCTATGCTGTTTGGGGCTTAATGTGTCTTGTAGGGCTGTACACATCCCGGGTGTTCGCAATGTGATGCTTTCTCTCGTTCACCGTGGGACATGTTTTGGGCAGTGGCTCCGCAAGCCGAAGTGGAGGGTGTCCCGTGCCCAGCAGAGATGTAGTCGCTGGGTCTGACAGATTGATGGAGTTGGTCCGTGGGTCGGTCTCGGCGGCCACATGGGCCCGCTATAACAAGGTGTGGAGGGAATGGGACGGGTGGAAGCTGTCCCGTGGGGGTTTCCAGGACTCGCCCGCTCGCCTGCAGGGTCTGGTTCTTCTCCTTGAATTGCTCGAAAAAGTATGCGTATTGACCTAGGGGTATTGCCAAAACGATTGGTGATGCCTGGGTCTCTAGTGCTGGTGTCACTTTAAAATACTGTTGTGGTAAACATACCACATAGTACATTATGAACCATGGACGTTGTACCCTCTCGTCGAGTGGTGTTACTTGTGTATTTGCCCTACTATTATGGCGTCTGTACGGGTTTCACATTCCCTCCATGTTGAATTATATGAGCTTGGCGGGTTTGGAGTAACTCGTATTACAGTGGGTTATATTTGTTTTCAGTGGTTACCTGTTGTTTAGGGACGGTGTGGGTTGGTTGTGAGCAAGGTTCCCGGTTAGGTGGTGGCTACTTGCTCGAGATTGGGCCAGCATGGGTCTAGCAGATACTACAGTGGGGGTATCTAGCTCATGGGCTGGCTGTAGGTCTCCCGAGTTAGGAGTCGATTAGTAGTGGGCGGGTGATATCGGCTGTTTGTGTTAAGCAGCTAGTAGTTACCTGTGTCTGCCTGTGAGTTAAGAGTCTGTGAGTTATATCGCAAAAAGAGAGAAAGGGAGGGGCAGGGGGGAGATGAGAGGGTGAAAGGGAGAGGTGGGGGGATGGGAGGGATGGGGGAGGGGAAGTCCGAGAGGAGATGCCCCCCCATGGCCATTTCTGCACGCTTGGCGGGGCTCAGCTTCCTGTTCAAGTTGCGGGGTTGGGAAGACGCTTCCAAAGCATTTATAATACGCCAGGCCCTAAAAGGTTTGAGGTGGGGGGGGTACTCTCTTGGCTAATCTGTGTGATGCCTTACATAGGGTTTGCCATTCGGAGTTTGTGGCCTGACTCTTTCGCTTGGCTTTTTCCCTGGCATTCTTTGGTGCCATGCGGATTGGGGGGCTGGTGTTCCCCAGTTGGCAGCAGGTGGGCGGGGGTGGTGCTATTTGGGGACGTTGCTTGCACTGCTGATCAGATTTCCTTCAGGATTCACCGCTCGAAGACTGATGTCTTGGGGAGGGGCAAATGGGTCCGACTGGGGGCTGTGCCGGTTTCCGGCATTTGTCCTGTTTTGCCCTTTGGTATTGTATTATTCCTTACGCTCTTCTCCCGCTCTGCCCCTCCTGGTGCATGAGGATGGTAGTTTTCTTTCTCATTTCCAGTTTATTAGAGTGTTCTGTTTGGGGCTGGAATTTCTGGGAATTGATAGCAGGAAGTTCGGGGGCATTCATTTCGTATTGGGGCGGCTATTGAGGCTTCTAGACTTGGCATGCCAGTGCAGGTGGTACAAAGAATTGGGAGGTGGGAGTCAAGACGTTATGTTTCCTATGTTCGCCTGGCTGGTCTACTGACTTGATTTCTCTCCACAGCTTCGGTTCCCCCCAGGATTTGGATCATGGGATACTCCTATGTTTATTGGGCCAGGCAGCGTGCGGCAGCGTGCGGCAGCGTGCGGCGGTTCGGCCTAGAGTCGAGCGGTTGGGTTTTATGCCTTCCGAAGCGGAGGTTCGGTGGTTCGGTACGAGGGGCATGAGGTGGGTGCGGCTCCTCCCTGAGGTGGTTCAGTCGTCCCGCCTCCTGGGTGTTCCGAGTGTCCTGGTGATCCATCTGGGGGGGAATGACCTGGGTTCGGTGCCCATATGGGATTTGGTATCGGCCATGAAACGGGACTTGGCGTGCATTTTACTTTTGTTTCCCAACATGCGCCTGGTTTGGTCCGAGGTCATTGCCCATAACTTCTGGCAGTGCGCCCGGAACCAGAGTGCCATGGAGCGCTGCCGCCGTAGGTTGAACAGGCGGGTTTCTCAGTTTGTTTTGGGGGTTTGGGGGATTCCAGTTCGCCATAGGGGAATATTTCGGGGGGATAGAGGGCACTTAACGGAGGTCGGGCTCGACCTTTTTAATCTTGCCCTTCAGAAGCGGTGGAACAGGCCATGGGTGGTTTTGGCGGGGGTATGTCCCTGCCAATTAAGTTTGAGGGGTTATGTTTAAGGATATGGAATGAGTTGAACAAGTTTGCAGGTCTCAACCTCCCCTGCTCAAAAGAGTTAACCTAAAGTTACCTGGGATGTCGTGCCCATCGAGCGTGGATAAGGTTGGCTGGTGGAAGGAAATTAGTTTATGCTGAGGGGGGAGGGGAGAGGAAGTGGTACATAGGAGCATGGTCTGTTTATTGGCAAGGACGGTTGGGTTCACTGTATAACACTATGTGTTAAGTTTTATATATATATATATAAAACTTAACACATAGTGTTATACAGTGAACCCAACCGTCCTTGCCAATAAACAGACCATGCTCCTATGTACCACTTCCTCTCCCCTCCCCCCTCAGCATAAACTAATTTCCTTCCACCAGCCAACCTTATCCACGCTCGATGGGCACGACATCCCAGGTAACTTTAGGTTAACTCTTAACATATATATGTTAAGTTATGGTTATTTATGTTTAACGTTTTGGTTACAGAAAAGAAGAGAAATTATTAAATAAATTATGGATGTGTTATGCAGTATTTTATCATATGTTATAATATATGCTGTGGCCTGTTTCATCCATACTATGTTGTCTGTCGTTATTTTGGAGGGTTGAATGGGGTTAGTTTATGTATTATGCTGCATCGTGATTCCCCACTACGTACATACAAGCACAGAAGTCCCGTGGTGCTGGGTTAGCGCTCTGCCTCTTCCAACGTCACCTGGGGGAGGTGGGGCGCTAATGCTCAAGTGCGTCAGGTACCGCAAGCACATTAGGCTCTTCCCATGTTAAATTATTGCTGCAATGCTTTCCTATGGGGTTTAGTTTGACGCTGGATGTCTTCAAGCAGGGTGTGACGGTGTCCAGTGCCAGGAAGTGCTTACAGCGGCTGTCTGATTGACAGCCACTAGAAGCATTCTTAACAATGCAAGGTACTTAATTCAGTTTCTCAAAAACTGTAATAATTACAATTGCACCCAGACCATTTCAACGGTCTAGTGTAGGCCTACAGCGTCCCTGTAATTCACCTAGGATTTCCCAGAACAGCCCCCGCCGCTGGTCACTTAAATTAAAGGACACTATATTCACCAGAACCATTACAGTTTTTGTGTCTATAGCCTGTCCCTGCCAGCTCAGCAATCAAAACGTTGCATTTTAAGAGAAAAGGCAGCTTTTACATTGCTGTCTAGTAACACCTCTACTGGCAGTCACTCAAACAGCCATTGGAGGAACTTCCTGGGTTATTTCCTGCAATCTATGCAGAACCTACGTTCAGCATCTCCATGCTCTGCATTGACATGCTGAACGCACTTCATAAAGATGCATTGATTCAAAGCATCTCTATGAGAAGTTGCTGATTAGCGCGGCATGGTGTTTTGCTGCCCATGCACAACAGCCTCAGAATGCTTTCCTATGGGAAATATTGTATTGGCTGGGATCATCAATACTGATGATCTCAGCCATGGAAGCGAGGCCAACCACCATGAGACCACCGGAGCGATGGAGAAAAGGTAAGTACAATACCTTTTAACTTTATTCTGAGTGGAGCCTAAAACCCAAACATATACTCCAGAACTATAGTGTTGCTTTAAACCAGGGGTGCCCAAAAGGTAAATCCCCAGATGTAAAACTACAACTCCAGTGATGCTTTGCATGCCTTTGGAATGCCTTTAGAATGGCAAAGAATCCAGACAACTGTAGTTTTAAAACATCTGGGGATCTACCATTTGAGCATCCCTGTTTTAAAGAGTCCCTCTTTATCCATTTAAAATGTTGGTACGGTATAAACCATTCATAGCTAAGTGAATGATTAATTTGCAAAATACACAATATATTCAGTAACTGATTTATAAATGACCATATATTTGTTACGTGGTGATCAAACCCCAATGGCTATTTTTGTCCATGTGCCTAGTGTACTGCGCAACATCAGAGCATTTTTACAAGAATAAATGCATTACAATCGTTCTATTTATTAACTTATTTTCAATTAAAAAAACAAAATAAAACAGAAATTTAATAAAGTTAATATAGTGTAAAATGTTATTGGCTTTTAGATCTTTGAATTGGAAATTGGAAAGATTTTATGACAAATGTATGATGGGATTTTTCCATTAATAATATCCCTAAATCATGGGATCACGTGAAATATTGAATATTCAAGATTTTCATTCTGGGGTTTAGCCTGTCTTGGGCCCATTGTAGCTTTAATCTACTGTAAATAAATGCTGGTTTCAAAGTATTTCTTTATACACGGAATGCCTTATTCGTCTTGTATTCTGCATTCTTCCGTTTCACTAATGTCCTCGATAATTGGAGTTAAATATTTCAATAGTATTTTTTACCATCTAGTATGGCAAGCAGCTGTTACTTAATATTTAGCGTCTCTTATTTATCGCCGTGAGAGGCAATAAAACTTTCAGAAGTCGCTTACTCACAGAATTCACAGACTCACGGGGTATGAAATCAATTTCCAGAGACCCTTTAATCATGGAGCATGTGGTCAGAAGGTAGGGCAGTTTTAATAATATTTTGATGGCTTAATGACCTATAGATAGCTATTATAGTAATTGGGTAAGCCAATAGCAAAACAGCTTTAGAAGCAGCGTAATTACTAACAGCAGCAGGAATTTAAAGGTGAACTGCCCAAAACCTGGAGCTCTACAAGTGGTTTTCATGCTGTGACAAGCTGCTAGAGGTCGAAGTTGTACTGCCCCCTGCTGATCAGACATCTCCAGAGCGCAAGAAAATTTGGAAAAATTGGAAAAATGTACATTGTATCTATTACTCTATTACTTACAATGGTGTCAAGTATTTTAAAGGGCACCTATAGTCCTGAAAATAACTTATGTTTCAGGTCTATAGGTTCTGTTTTATCACTACTTTATCAATACTACTGACAAAACCCCTTTGCAGAGAAAAAAACTAATAACTAAAGTTAATTAATTTCAAGCACCCAACAAGACTTTTCCCCTGCAGTTGTCTGCTCCAACTCTGAAGAAGTATGCATGCCTTCCACGATCTCAACCAATCCAATGCTTCTTCCAGATAAGCATTTGATTGAAGATATGCATGCGCGGCTAAACGCCATGCTTCTCCAATTAAATGTAAATTGCAAAATATGGGGAAATCCGTGGGACGCTGCCACATCAAGAACGTGCCTGTGATATAGCTCTTCTTAACTCATGAGGTGATGGGCAAAATGTTCTTACTATTCCCACACATCATGTACTGCTGTGTGGTTTAATAAAAAAAACAATAAGTGGTACGGATTTTTCCATATCCTGTACACATCCTGTAGGGATTGAAGGAATAAATGCTTTAAGACCATGAGCCCAATATGACTAATCGAAGATGTGGTCAGCAGTCCCTTCTATCTGTCATCAAACGTTTGATGGATGAAGAATTAAATTGCGTAAAGATACTCTGTGGATCCCCTATCAACTGGAAGTGACCTGGTTACTATTATTGAGCATATGAGGGCGATAAATTACAAGAGAGTCTTGTGGACCCCCTAATGCTTACTTGTGAAGGTCTGGTTCTATCCTATTCCTGACGTCGTGTGTGGTCAACATAAAATAAAACAGGTGGGTGTAAACAACCCCAAAAAATAGTTAAATGCTGAAAAGTGGTCATCACAACAATGGATTCATTTGGAAACAAAATGATCAGGAGAGCAGGAGAGGGACCTTATAAGGACAAGGCATACTTAAAGTGACCACTCAGATCTTCGTAAACATTAAATGGAGTTTAGAAGATGAGGACAGGGAGCGCCTGATGACACCATATTATTAATCCATCAATCTGACTTTTACTTCTGGACACATTTGTAACAAAAGACACAGTTAACAGATTCTTTTGTAAGAAAATTTACAGGTCTCACCTCTAATCACAATCAGTTATCTCTCGCCATCTCATACTCTGAAATAGCTTTAAAGAGAAGGAATTAAACTAGCTTTTAGCTAGAGAAAGAAATTCAGGTCAGATAAAGGTTCATTTCAGATGGTTGTGATAAGCACGTGTTTCAAGGCGAATGATCAAATGTTTGATCAACCAGGGGTTTGAAAGATTAGAAGGAATGGTGAATAGCTGTGGGCAGTAAAGTGGACAGACTATCTCCTTCTCCGCAAGGTTAATTTAGACAGAGTGCATTTGGTACCAAGAGACAAGCTAGACTTTACACGCATACATTGGCCACATGTCTAGATTTTATGGTTTAAATTGAGGCAGTGATCCCATTAAAATACATCTGGGAGACTATATTAAGAACAAAGTCGACAAAACGAGTGACAATAAGTGTAAATTGAGAATATCATGAATGGGTCTTTCGCTTTTTTTAAACACACCAATTATTTCTCCTTAAACGTTTTTAAATTTAAATTTTTTATTTTTTTGTTGAATATAAAAAAAAAAAAAATAATAAACCTACAATCAATCATTGTGGTTTCCTTAACTAAGAAGAGGACCTTTGTGTGTGAAGTCATGCTCGATGTATGGTACAGTACGAAGGCCAGCACAAAAGGACTCCTTTAACATTCAGAAGACACTAAGCAGCAGATCCCGAATTTATGGGATGGAATTCGCAAATTTGTATGTCTGTTGCCAAATGACCTTTGAACAGAGACATAGAAGACTCATTGATCTCTCATTTCCTATACGGAGCATGCCACTATAATAGGCCCAGTTTTCTATGTTACCTTACGCTTTCCAACCGAAAAACACGATGCATCTGTGAACTTTGCCCTTGACAGTCGCTCTTCATTTCCTCCAAAATCCTGTTTGTTCAGCAATACTTCTCCCCCTCCTCAGTGTTTAATTTCTGGTGGAGTAGACTGTTTTAATTTAATTTCTGAAAAGTTGCATTAAAGCATATAAGGGCTCACAGAGAGGTTATATGGACCAGTAGGAAGAGATAAAAGGACATTTTATATGGAGTAATAGGAAGAGTTATATAGAGGTTATATGGAGCAATAGGAGGAGTTATACAGAGAGGTTATATGGAGTAATAGTAGGAGTTATAGAGAGAGGTAATATGGAGTAATACGAGGAATTACAGGGAGAGGTTATATGGTGTAATAGGAGGAGTTATAGAGAGAGATTATATGGAGTAATAGGAGGAGTTATAGTGAGAGGTAATATGGAGTAATAGGAGGAGGTATAGAGAGAGGTTATATGGAGTAATAGGAGGAGTTATAGAGAGAGGTTATATGGAGTAATAGGAGGAGTTATAGAGAGAGGTTATATGGAGTAATAGGAGGAGTTATAGAGAGAGGTTATATGGAGTAATAGGAGG